AGAAAGGAGAAGCTATACTAGCAGGAGTGATAAAATCATCAGTAGTTAACTGTGGTCACTCAAGCTTGTCGAACTTCTGCCAGCACTTCTTTTCTACATGGTTATTTCTCCCACAATGAGTACATCTGCATGGTGCTTTATCTAATCTACTTTGCCTACTATCATATGATCATGACCTTCCCCATAATCATAGCCATAGTCATGACCACGTCCTTTGCCATGTCTAGCAACCATGACAGACTGCTCAACAGATGGTGTAGAGGGTGCATCGGCTCCAGTTGATACACGCATAACCTTGGACAAGGTAGACATCAATGAGGGAACACTATCCTAACCCAAAATCTGTCCTCGCATTTGAAATGCTAGTGACGAATCCAAGACCAATAGAAACCTTAACACTGCTAGATCCTGATGATATCCCCTTAATATCGCTGGATCAATGATAGCAGACTGATGCATCTCCAACTCATCCATCAACCCCTTTAACTCTCTATAGAATTCTGGTATAGATCTATCCCCTTGCTACAATAATAATAATAATAATAATAATAATAATAATAATAATAATAATAATAATAATAATAATAATAATCACTCATATCTTATAAACTTTGGACACATTTTTCTCATTTCCATACATCACCTTGAGAGTGTCTCACATTTCCTTGACAGTAGAGAAGAACATGACATTACTACTGACCCTTTCTTCCATATTGTTGAGGAGCCAATTTGTAACACAATAATATTCAGAAAGCCAGGTCTTATACTTAGAGTCTGTAGAAGTAGGTGGATTCTCTAGAAGATGCTCTAATTTATTCTGACCACTAATAAAAATTCTAAATGCTTGTGCCCATAACAAATAATTAGATCAATTTAGTTTCACAGTGGTTCCCAAAATAGTTTTGGTAGTAGATACCTCTATAACAGTAAGAGGAATAGAAGGGGTCGAAGAGCTCGTGATATTCGATGTCTCAAACAACCAAATACTGAGAAATCAGCAACAAATCAACTAAAAAAAAGCATCAAATCAGCTAGAAATTAGAAAAACAATAGCTATTAATTATTAATTATTATCAGGTCAGATCAGATTTGAATTTTTTTGCCATATTAAGAAATCAGTTCGATTTGATTAAGTTAGAGACAATGGTAGCAAACAACAAAAATGGAAATAGAGAGCAGCAACAACGATAGATCTAGGCGATAGCAACGGTGATAGATGAAGAGGAGGAAGTTGAAGACGATGAGAAGTAGGAATGGAGATGACAATCGGTGAGGATGATAACGGAGAGATACTGTTCAATGATGAATGTTTGGAAGTATCATAAATACCATTTTTTTAGTCTTGGACCAATAACTACAGATGCTTCCATAAGTATTATATATTTTCTATTGCTTTCTTTCATTGAAATCACAAACACTACATGATCTTCTCAATGTTGCACTTCATTTCTAAGGGAAACTTGAGTGCATAAATTTGAGTTTTATTCTCTAGTTACCTGCCTTGATTTATTCTCGAAAGAAATGTGACACTTTATCTTCACAATTTTTACTCTAAACACTCATATGTCTACGTGTAAAACTTAAGGTTAAAATTAAACTTAAGTTGCAAGGTTAAACAAGAGTGCTAGAATTCTGACTTCTTCTTAACAACTAATAAATCAAAGACTTGTGAAAGAAAGTCCTCCCTCCCACTACATCAACACTTTGAAATTGTTACCAGAGTTATGAGTTATCATTTTAAATTCTAACATAATGTCGTTGTAGGTTAAATGTTCTTTTTAAGCTGGAATATTTCCTTTTGCAAAGTATTTTTTTATATGTTTTAAATGTGAAGCAAGTAGTATTAAATTTAATTTGGGTTCGTTATGGTACCATCTTAAAATTGTTCTTTCATTGTATTAAACGTTCAAAGTTAGGATGCCAGTTTGACGATGATAGTTTTATACCCTATGTGAAAGAATTAATCCATGTGTTTGCGCTCAGCAAGATGAGTGTGAAAGAGGCTGCTTTATAGGGCTCAGTTTCAAATGATCAGAGAATGAGGACGCACAGACCATCAGTAATATTCAGTAAAAGTTAGGTTAACTCAGAAAAGTTTATTTTTAGTTTGCAGAAAACAAACAAACTATATAAGCTATAACTTGTTCTCCTTTTTGGCACCACTCTTAGTTGCCTACATGAATGAACGAGTGAATGATTAATTCCTGTACACAAAGAATTTGTGGCGGATATACATAGTCATATGTGTCCATTGGTGTGACAGAGTACTACCATAAATTGCTTACTCCATAAATATTTTTATTTTATAAACTCTATGGAAGATAAAAGGGGTTTTTCATGGGAACCACCTTATATCTCGGTGAAATTGATACAAACCACATTTAATATTTTTTTAATATAAACCACCTTATATATGTGTTATCTTCTCAATGTCACACCTTTGTCACTATTCAGTCTAAATAAATTTTAAAATACCCATGTTATCCCCATCTTCACCATCTTCCTCCTGCTCCCCCCCACCCCGCGTACCTCATTCCTTCATTCTCCTCTTCTTCCTCATCCTCCCCTCCCCCTTCACCTCCTTTTTTCTTTCACCTCCTCCTCCTCCATTCTCACCTTCCTCACCTCTTCCTACTCCTCCTCTTCCTCATCCCTCCTCCTCTCCTCCTTCTCCTCTTTTTTTATTTGGTTAGATTGAGGGGTATTATAGTAATTTTACATTTTTTAAAAATAGAAATTACCCAAAAGTGTGACATTGATAGGATAATACATATATAAGATGGTTTGTATTAACAAAACATTAAAAGTGATTTGTATCAATTTCACTGATATATATAAGGTAGTTCTCATGAAAAAACCCAAGATAAAATTATAAATTTGTCATTGTATATTCCAAGGATGTTTTATAGGAGCATTACTCATAAAATTGTAACCTTTGTTATTAGAACTTCTCTTTTTTATAGATTTTATCTAACTACTTCACCAGACATCAAAATTCGATCTAAATTCTATAATTTGTTTTCTCTTTTTAAATTGCATTAATCCTCTATTCTCTCTCTTCCCCACAAATGTTAATAAGGTTAATTCCAGTAAAAAAAACTTCAAACTTTTGGGTATTATAGATAACCCCTTAAATTATTTTAATTTTACTACCCCCTAAACTTTAGGGGTTCTGCGGCTCGCAAAACTCCTTTAACCCCACTAAAAAATCTCCTCCCCCAAAATTTTGAGTGTCTCACATAATCTATCTAAACTTCCAACTTCTCTCAAAAGGACAGTTCTATTTTTACATGACACATATCAAAAAAATCTTTTAAGAAAAAAAACTTAACGAGAGGGATGGTCTGTTGTTTACAAATGACGAATGACTAAATTGAAGGCTTTTGTCTGTAAAAACATCAGATCCATTACTTCTAATTTGCAAATAATTAAAATATTCTTAAGAGAAACAATATCAAAATTTGTCATTTCCCATTTATAGGCAATATATCCTCCCTTGAATTTTGTGTTTACTTCTCTCCATGTGAGAACCACCGAAGTGCGGAGAATTATGTGAAGTAAACCTCATTTTACTTTTATATAATAATTATACACACATCTCCTAACCTCAGCTCACCATGATTGACTGGCTGACCGACCCACAACCAGAAAATGAAAAAACGTTGTTGCGTGACCTACGCCCAATGCGGAAGTTGATGTAGGGCGGGGTCCACGGGGAAAAAAGATTATCGAATACATAATTAGGAAGTGATCAGATTATTTTCATACCCGACTCCTTCACAACCGACTAGAACCTGCATGGTTCTAGTGATCTTTAATGTTTAGTGCTTGCCTCGTGCCTCTAGAGTTTATTCATTCATTATTCATGGTGAAGCCATAATTCTCTTTGCTTATGTGCTATGTATTCTCAACCCCATGTGTTCAAAATCTGTCTTTTTTTTTAATTTGACTTAAACTCCTATTCTTATGCTTACTTATTTAATGACTTGCAAAAATCCCTGTGCATCTACAACTTTATCTTGTTATATGCTGTCAAATTTTGTGCTCCTTTGAGCTACAACTTTAATCAAGGATTCATGCATAGTAAACCATGGAACATGTAATTATTATCATCTTTGGAAATGACCGATGCTGTTATATTTGTACTAATATTGGATCTATTCAATTTTTTTGATATCAGAGTAATAGCTGAGAAGACTTTACTAATAATTTTGTCGACATCATGCAAATATGTTCTGTGTGAAATTATTCGTTTATATTTGTTACTTAAGCAACAAAACTTCTGTTAGGTTGCTTCCTGATTGGATAGTTGCAAGGAACTGTTTATTTGCTACCAATTCAATGTTAATACATGTGCTTCCATCAGATGCAGGTTGTCAGCTTGTTTCTACTACATTGTCCTGCTTTTGAATTATTGATGTCGTTTTACTCGTGATGTAAGCTTTCTAACTTTTAAGCACATCTTCGAGGCGTGTGGTGTGTTATAATATTTCCATTCCTATATCTATTTCAATGACAATCCAAACAAGAATAAAATGGAAGCAACATATATTAATTACTTCCTTGTAATATTTTCAAATATTATCCAAACAAAAAAAAGTAAATGAAGAGGAAGAAGTTCTACTTCCATTACTTCTAAAAATATATGAAACAAATAAAAAAATGCTATTTCCATTACTTCCTACTGTAAACTGCGTCTTACTTCCAATACTTCTATTATCCAAACGGGACCTAACCCAGAACCCAAAATAGAACCGCAAGACCACTCTGTCTATCAATCTCAGCCGTCCAATCCCCATCCAACGGCCTGTCACTCACAACAGCTTCTAGATCAATCCAGACTCTCCAAATCGCTCCCCTCTCCCCATATAAGCCCGTGCCCCACCCGACGCGAAACTCCTCTCGAGATCGACTTCTAGGGTTTGCTTCCTCTGCTCGCCCTCGATTTCCGATCGATTCCATCATCATCGAACTAGGGTTTTGTGATTTGCAGATCGAAGATGTTTGGTAGAACGCCGAAGAAGAGCGATAACACGAAGTACTACGAGGTCCTCGGGGTCTCGAAGAACGCGTCGCAGGATGATCTGAAGAAGGCCTACAGGAAAGCTGCGATCAAGAATCATCCCGACAAAGGAGGCGACCCTGAGAAGGTAAGATCTGATGTCGGCGGTCTTTCGATCTGTGTCCTTGATTTTGATTGGGTCTGATTCGATTCGATTAACTACTTTTGTGGATCTGCTATTGCAGTAAAGATCGTTTCTTTTTTTATTTTTTAAATGTTTTTGCTTCTTGAATTCAGTTTCTTTGGCAAATTGAACTGCTGTTTGGTAGATTAATTCGAACTGTGGTCTCAAATAATCCTAAATTTTGTGTTTTTTTTTTTGTTAGGATCCGTTATGTGAATGATATGCGTGTAGTTGGGTTTAGATCTGATGCGACGAAGAGAAAGTAGCGGAGTTCACCAAGGACTGATAGGGTTAGTTTGTCGACGAGGACTGGTAGCGTTGATTTGTCGCCAAATCGGGATAGTAAACTGTTAGAAAACCCCTTTGATTTTGTAGGTTGAGTATCTAATTACACAGTGCATACTGAATGTGAATCCTGTTAATTCATTTGAAGGACTCCTATAATTCCAGTGAATCCAACATGAACCAACCGTAGAGAGATGTCCCAAAATTTGCCTAAGCTTTCGGTCTGAAGAATGGTTGTTTTTAAATAAACAAGCGATTGCCCTATCTGACTCTTGCTGGCCAACCAAATATAGTGAAATAACTCCCAAGTAGGATTTGCACTTAGTTTGCAGTCCTTGCTGAAAGCGGCCTTGGGGGAATCTCATAGTTCTTATAGGCAGAGGTGATGGTACACAATCTGATTAGAGCAAAGGATTGAATGGAGCAATTGCATTTAGCTATTCCCGATGACCAACTTGGTCCCTCTTAGGTTCCTAAACAATGGGAACCCGTGAGAGCGTCATAATTAGGATTTGACCAACTGGCTATCCGACCTCGTCTCCAATCTCAACAACCCATCTTCTTTGTCTGAGTAGAGCTTTTCAATAACATGTTTTTGTCCTCTTCCCTATCATTCTGCAAAAGCTAATCATGGGTTTGGATACTAAGATTTCTGCACCAACATTTAGGCATTCAAACCATAACCGCAACTCCCCAGTTTGCAAGGGTACGTCGAAGAGGCATGTCAAGGATGCTTCTAGTTGTGTAAATCAAGTTCCAACTATGATCATTGTCCAAGAGTACTTTGGAGATGGGGATGCATGTAGGAATTTCCAATTTTGGGTAAAGGTTTGGCAATAGATAAGCTACAAGATGAAAAGAATCTATTGCAATGTTACTAAGGTGCGAGGTGCAATGCAGGAAACCCCCTCAATGTGTGCTGTATGTAGCCTCAGTGAAGTGAGAGACGCCAGAAGCAAAATATTTCAAGATAAAGAAGCAAGCATGAAACATGTTTATGTTTTTTATATAGAGGCATTAAAATAATAATTTCAACTAGTCATAGTGTTTAACACGCTAAAAGAAGTGCAGTTCACAATTCTCCACAAATAGAAAATCAAGATTAATATCTAAAAGAAGTATGAAATGAAATCAAGTAGTACATTATTTATTGTACTTGCATTCTGAATGATGGGAAATCTGGTCTTATTAGCCGTTCTGTGTAGCATATTTCTTACTGTACAACGTAAGTGATAACGTGAGTGATACTCTTAGTGAACTTATCTCTTCCCTGGTTGATTTTAAAGGACATTATACGACTAAACCTATACAGCTACTTATTCTTTAACCTGTGGACGAGACTACAACTAAAACAGTTTATGTCTGTCAACAGAGAGATGCATACATAAAAATCAACAAGAAGCAATCCACAGAGAGATACAGAAATGGGGGTGTTTCTTCACTACGTGAATCACTAAAAGTCCTCCCACTTTTTAGTCTTCTGTTTAAAACATGAAAAAACAAGGTACGAAAAGAGTGATTTTCAGCTCCTGTACGCTCTTTGGACTCATCAAAGAATATTCCTCGTGTCTTGAAATACCTGCAAGACTATTAAGATCCACTCTTCATACTCTTAATCCTGAAAAACTGTGCTTCAAAAGAAAAGAAAGCACACAGAACTGAACATTTAAAAAATTATCGAATATTCTGAACAATTTGTATGGAAGTAAAAAACTAGAAAAGAGTCCAGATGAACACTCAAACTAGAAATTAGGCCGAAAGAACACCCAAAAACTCGATTTGAAAAGGGGCAAAAAGTTGATAACTTTGCTGCGTGTCTTAGTCCGCTGTTAACTGTTGAACGTTAATAGGTGTTCGCTGTTTCTTCTAGTTAGCAGGTTTCACATCGCCAAGGGTTCTTGTATGATTTTTAACAAACATTTTTGGGTTAGCGGATTTCAGACCCATTTAGTCTTTTTTCACAATCCAACCTGAGGTGCTGCCTCAGTTGGCTTCTTCGGTCCGAAGGAACCAGCCGTGGTCGATGGGTTTTTTGGTTGGATTAGCAGATGTCATACCCGATTATAATTGGTTTTTCAGATTCTAACCTGAGGCATTGTCTCAGTTATGCCTCATGAGAGCACGAGGCACATGTGGGGTGCCACAGGGTGCACGCCTCAGGTATGCCACTAATCAAATATGATTTGTTATGTAATCCAGAGGCTAATAATTACCTTTGGTGACCATGTGCTATCATCAGTCATTACTTCTGAAATGATTCATTGCTTCTGTTCTGAAAAATGACTTGAGGTTCTTTGTTTTGTCATTCTGATGGATTTGCAGTATTAGAGATATCTGATTCAGTTTGGCGCTTAGCTATAGTAACTTCTGGATGCTATGGTTTAAATGGTTCAATTAATTCTACTGCTGTTAATTCTTTTTTCTTCTTAATTTGCGGTATTTAGTGGTGTCTGATTTAGTTTGGCTCTTAGCCATAGTAACTTCTGGATGCTATGAGTTAAATGGTTCAATTAATTCTACTGCCGTTAATTCTTTTCCTTCTTAATGTGGGTAATGTTTTGAATTATGGTATTCTGCGAATATATATTCTATAAGAAACTTGGCTGTGTAATACGAAATTGTTCCTCATTAGTAGGTAACTGTTAAATGGTTATATATGCTTAGCCAACATAATTGGGATACTTCATTTGCATAGGTTTTTCCTCATTAGGAGGTAACTGTTAAATGGTTATATATGCTTAGCCAACATAATTGGGATACTTCATTTGCATAACCTATGCATCTCCACTATGTGGTAACTTTTTTCTGTGTGCATGACTATACATAAATGCATATGTTTTGCCCTGTCTTTTGTGTGGTGGTTCATGTGCCTGTGATGATTGTTATGATGATTAGTTGTAAATCTTTGGTGGTACTTTCTGCATAATGTGATTGTACCTTTGCTTTATCTGGGTACTTACATGATTACATTCTGGTGCTTTTGTCTGTTGTCTCTGTTGTCATGTAAGTGATGATTTGTTAAGTTGATTAATTCATCATTCTTGTATTTCTCTTTGGTTTCACATTTTTCTCCGCCTTTCTGTTGATCTCTAGTCTAAGACCCACTTCTGCTGTTACAGTTTAAGGAGTTGGCCCAGGCTTATGAGGTGCTAAGTGACCCTGAGAAGCGTGAGATATATGATCAATATGGCGAGGATGCTCTCAAGGAAGGAATGGGTGGCGGAGGTGGCGGCCATGACCCGTTTGACATCTTCCAATCCTTTTTTGGTGGAAGTCCTTTCGGAGGTGAGAATATCCATTTTTGTGGTCTTTTTTTTGTTTGTTGCGGTAGAATTACATGCAAAAGTTTATCTTAAATTTTTGTTTATTTATTACTAATATTTTAGTGGATGATTAGGAGGTGGAAGCAGCCGGGGACGCAGGCAGAGAAGGGGAGAGGATGTGATCCATCCACTGAAAGTCTCTCTAGAAGACCTTTACAATGGAATCTCAAAGAAGCTCTCTCTTTCTAGAAACGTCATCTGCTCAAAATGCAAGGGGTAAGTTCGCTTTCTTATTTTAAATGCTACGAGCGACCGGACTACTGTCTTTAACATCAAATCTTATTGTTTTTCCAGTAAAGGGTCCAAATCTGGTGCTTCAATGAAATGCTCAGGCTGCCAGGGATCTGGCATGAAAGTCTCTATTCGTCAGTTGGGTCCTTCCATGATCCAGCAGATGCAGCATCCTTGCAATGAATGCAAGGGTACTGGGGAGACAATTAATGACAAAGACAGATGCCCACAATGCAAGGGAGAGAAAGTTGTGCAGGAGAAAAAAGTATTGGAGGTGGTGGTGGAAAAAGGGATGCAAAATGGCCAAAAAATCACCTTCCCTGGAGAAGCAGATGAAGCTGTATGTTTACAATATCTGTTTAACCTTAACTCTTTCCTAGCTTTCTGATTACTGACTTCTTCTTCACTTTGCAGCCTGATTGTATCACAGGTGACATTGTATTTGTGCTTCAGCAAAAGGAGCATCCCAAGTTCAAGAGAAAAGGCGATGATATCTTCTATGAACATACTCTTTCTCTTACTGAGGCTCTTTGTGGCTTCCATTTTGTGCTGACCCATCTTGATAACAGGCAGCTGCTCATTAAGTCTAACCCTGGCGAGGTCGTCAAGCCTGGTGAGCATTTAGTCACTTAACAGAAAAAATTCCTTTATGGATCCTTTATAGAAAACCATATGAGGAGGGATCTAACTTTTGTCCCTTAACACAAATCTTAAGTTGATGATTAACATGTCATTCAAATTTAAGTTTTCTTTGGGATGTGCTCGACTCTCCTGTTTTTTTATCTAAAAGACGTTAGACGTGGTCTTATGTAAAAAGTCTTATATAGAAAATCATACAAAGGAAGCAGGACAAATCTTAAAGTTGATTATTAATATTCATTCAACTCTGTTGGGAAACGGCGTGTAGCTTCATGTTTCTCTAACTAATCACTATGTCATGATCCTTGGTTTTCTCGTGTGATGTTCTGTAGTGGACCCCCTTCCAATTTTTAGAATTCCTAAATTCATACAATTCTAGATTTCCTACAGGATTTAGTTACTCATTTTATAAAATAAATAAAAATAAGGAAATAAAATCTAGACTAGAAAGCGTAAAAGAAAGAGATCTAAATTATAAGAAAAATAAAAACTACCTACAAAAATAAGAACAAGATCAGGGAAATAAAGATCCAACTATGAGCATAAAGAAAATCTAACTAATAAAAATGAAAGTGCATAAAAGTAAATCTACACTATGAAATAAAAATTCAAGAAAATAAATTCTATATAGTTTGAAAAGCAAACAACAAAATAATAAAAGAGCATGAAAGTAAATCTACAATACAAGACATGAAATAAATCTAATTTACCAACATAAAAGAAAGAAAGTAAAATCCAAAAGCATGATATGTAAAATTACATTGTAAGGGATTGGGCCCTTGAAAGCAAATCTTCATCTTCACCAATAAAGGAAAAAAAAGAAAATTTAAAAGGTGGATTTTTTAAATTTATTGCAAATAAAAAGTTCATAATTTTGAAAGGTCTTCTCAATTAGAAGTAATATTTCTCTCCAAATGTAGATTTTACAAAATTTTTCACACTCAATACTCTTCACCCTCTATCCTTATTTATAGCCTACAGCAATCAACAAGAGGCATTGGATTTATCTTGAGCTTCGAGAAATAAATCTTAGCCATACGGTGGCCCCTAACAATTTTTTTAGTTAGTAACTAGAAAGCCATTTTTCATTTGATCTTTGCAATTGTGACGTAATTAATTTGTTTTCTTCCAGATCAATTCAAGGCCATTAATGATGAAGGAATGCCCATGTACCAAAGACCCTTCATGAGAGGGAAACTCTACATCCACTTCACAGTCGACTTCCCGGAGTCTCTCTCCCCCGAACAGTGCAAGGCTCTAGAGGGCGTGCTTCCTCCTAGAACAGCATCACAGCTTACTGACATGGAGCTCGATGAATGTGAGGAGACCACAATGCACGATGTCAACATTGAAGAGGAGATGAGGAGGAAGCAGGCTCAGGCTCAGGAAGCTTACGACGAGGATGAGGATACTCACGGCGGTGCCCAGAGGGTGCAGTGTGCTCAACAGTAGGCTCGGAAAGTGATTGATCCCTGCTGTTTTTATCGATTTGAGTTTCAGTTTGTTGCTAGACTCTTTCTTCCTTCTTGCTTGAGGGTTAAGTTCATCATGCACGACCTCGGATACGCTATTACTTGGATGTACGGACCTTGGTACTTTCGATTTGTTTTGCCTAATCATAATGATCAAATTTAGGTCGTATTTTCAACAAACAAAAAGCTACCATCATTGGACGCCACCGTAATATTGTATGTCACGCCCCGAGACTATGAGGCCACTAGCAAACTGTGAGACCGAGAGTAACTTGTTGTTTGACTAAGTTCACTGCTAAAAAGCGCTAGCATTTGTTGCCCATGGCTACTGGACTTTAATGTATCATCACATTGGACTAATTATTTGAAGAGGAACAGGGAGGAGAGTTTTTACAAGGATTTCTTGTTGCAATAGAGAAGCTTAAGCTAGGCACCCACCTACCTTATACATTAAAAAGAGAGGCAATCACTCCTATTTAGGAAATATGAATGAATGAAAACGCGTTGGTTAATTCAGCACGTAACAACTATTTTTAGATAAAAATGTTAAGAGTTTTTTTTTTTTTGTAAAAGTTTTCCAAAAAATCTAAGCTCAGTTTCAAACTAAATGCATGTTATAGTATGCATTTTAATAATGAAGAAATACCGTAGTCCAGTGATAAAAATCTTTTTAAAGCAAATCAAAGGGCACAAGTTCGAGGCCTGCCAAAACTCATTTTAACTAACAGCTCTCCATATGTTTAAACTTGGACCCAAATGGAATGCAGACTAGGACCGGGTAGGGTCGGGCCGGGTCTAGGGGTGCATTTGGTTCGGAAACGGTTATGATAAGACACTTATCATATCCATATCTGCTCTTTTTAAAAACGGATACGGATATGGATATAGATATTTATCAGTAAGGAAATGATATGATTATATCGAAACGGGTATGGTTCGGATATTAAAGAATTGGATATGGATGTTATGATGTTTTCAGTCACATAAGTGCAACCCTTTGCTAGCAACGGGCATGTGTACTTCTGCATGCAATGCCCTAATCAAATTGGCGGCCCAAGACCAACAAGGGTTCCAACTTAGCCGACTCGTCGAGTCGACATTCTTTAATGTCGACACAAAAGACGATACTAGTCGACCCTCTTGTCGAAGACGACTCGCAACGAGCCCACTCGACCTGCTATTCGACGCCTCCTGATGACGACTCGAAAGGCGTTACTTCTCGGCCAAGCTAGAGGACTTCGGCCTCGAGCTCCCCCACTGACAACGTCGGCGTCACATTTAATGCTTGGCAGGTGTCATCATGCCTCTAGCCCCGATAGTCTTCATGACTCATCGGACCACGTCGGCACCGCCATACCTCCGATCACTTCCCATTTAATGCTGAGGTGATCTCTCCTCCAGTCGCCAGCCGACACCTGTAAAGCAGGAGCTGACTCAGTCGCCAGCCCATGCTTCTTCACCGCCATTCTGTGCTCGACCACAATGACGGTTCTGCCATTTCGGCACTACTATAAATATAGATACTATTCTAACTTACAAAAGGTTCACACATATGATCTTCTGATATAGATCTGCAAATTACTGCACATACAATAACTCTCACAGTTCTTCACTTTTCCCGCTCAAGTTCACCAGCTGAGTTGATCGTCGAAGGAACCACAGGGGAACCAGTCCCCATCCTCTCACGAGTTTCTATATGTGCGGACTTTTCAGCCACTCAACTCAGAACTAGATATTTGGGGAAGAAAGCGGCCCTCTCATCAACTTCATCCCCATCCAACTACGTATTTAATTAACTGTGTGATCACTTGACATAAACAGTTTGGCACCCACCGTGGGGTTACTTTCTTTTTTGAGAAAACATGTCGGGTTCTGAGTATGGGTTTGATCAGTTCCGCCCTATAGAACCTCGCTAGAGCTATGTTACTCGAGCCTAGCTTGAAGAAACAACTCAGAAAATTTCTCAATCTCTCCAAGAGCAATTCGCTACATTTACTAGCGAACTTCTCAACCGGCTTTCACAACCGCAACAAGCTACCTCAGCTATGCCCCCACCTTCTAGAGACCTGCGATCGGAGACTCACCCTCCTTTCGGGGCACAATAAGTAGTCCTGCCTCGGACTCCTCATGCTGTTCCCAAGCAGATGGGGGATCGCGTCGAGCATGCAAGCCAGCCACCTCGTCGGTCAACTCGCCCTGGAGAGACTCCGCCGCTGCCATACTCTCCCATCAGGAAATCACCTCGGTGGAGAGTCCTCTGCTCTGGTTACCTTGGGACTGCACTACGACGGACGCATGGTCTCCTAAAACTCTCCTTCCATCCCGTGTTCTACTAGCCCCCTTATCCCTACCATAGGCGGCTCTCTGGCAACGATCGGCCGTGTACAGACGGTCGAGAAGCATCGGGGGGGGCCGGGGGGGGCCGAAATACCCCTCTTTTCAAATGAGCTTATGAATACCCTATGTGAGAAGTTCAAGATGCCTCACGTGGAGAAGTATAAGGGCGACGAAGATCACCCTGAGCATGTTCAGAACTACTATGACGTGATGAGCATGCTTCAAGCATCGGAAGCGGTTATTTGTCGATGCTTCCCCATCACTCTTTCATGGAGTGCTAAGATCTGGTGGAACGCTCTTGAGAAGAAGTCCATTAGTAGCTTCCAACAATTCAGCGGGAAGTTTATTCACCACATCCTGATTGACACCAAGTAGAAGCTGCCCCCTCATGTGTTGATTCAGATGAGGGAGGGGCCCAGAGAGAGCATTCGAACCTACTTCAAGAGGTTCCAGGTGAAAAGGTTAGAGGTCAACAACCCAGGGAGCGCAGTTGCTATGCCTGCGCTCTTGACCGGCTTGTAGAGCAATGTGTTGGCCGACTCGCTTGCCAAGACATTTGTCACCAATTATGAGCAACTGATAGCCAAAGCCTACGGGTATATGGACATGAAGAATGCCTGAGCCTATAAGGTGGCAGCCAGGGTTGTAGAGATTTCCATAGCCACAACTTCAACAGTGCCACTTGCCCCGTCGACTCCAGCAGTAGTACCGACGGTGGCACCAGCACCAGAGTCAACTAGAGACCCCCCTATGAGGCAGGAGTGGCCAAGAGACCCTCCAAGAGTCGATTCCCGCTCCAATCGGTCCGACAGGAGGGACTAGGCACCGAGACCCGCTCTCACAGTTCTTAACACCTCCCTCGCTGAAGCTCTCACCAGAGTTTAGAAGGAAGGACACCTTAAGGAGCCTGCTCCTAAGATGATGTCGAATCCCAAGAACCATAACATGAGGCAGTTCTGTCGTTATCACAAGAATCACGGCCATATCACCAAGATTTGCCACATCCTGAAAAGGGACTGTATGGTGTAAAATTTAATTTCCCAAAATGGGGACTTCGTTTGTATTTATAAGAATAGCTTATTACAAACTAATGAATCAAAGTTTATAACAGAAGCGGAGGGAATGCCCTCCTTGTTTAACGTGAGGTCTTTGATAGTGATAGGACGCCTCCCTTAGTGTCGGAACCGAGTTTGCTTCCTTGGACGATCCGAACGAAGTTGCGGGCGAGCTTCGGTACGCAGTAGAATCTCGTGTTGATCGAGTTCGAGTTCCCGAGCTTGATGACTATCAAGGCCGAAAGCTGGAAGAAGATGCTACAGTGCAAGAACAATGCAAAGAGCCATGGTCTATTCTCTTAGAGCTTAAGAGAACTGATTACCAAGGAGCCAAATAGGTTCGGTCTTGATCAAGAGTTCAAGACCCCTCTTTTGATAGCCATCATTGGCTATTTATAGTGGAGGAGAAGCATGGCCACTCCCTCAAATTGTGGGATTGTGGTTGAGGGGGACCATAACTCCATCCCTTAAATCTTGGGATGTGACCATTGGAGGTGAGGAGAATCATACTCCATCCCTTAGATCATGGGGAGTGGGTGTACCCACTCCCACGTTTTAAGCTCAAGTGGCTGACTTGGTCCAGCCGTGCAGGCGAGCTTGACATTGCAGGTGAACTTGGGCTATCAGGCGAGCTGGCGAGCTTTCAGGCGAGCAAGCGAGCTTGGGTCTGTAGGCGAGCTGGCGAGCTTTTAGGCGAGCATGCAAGCTTGGGTCTGCAGGCGAGCCTGGCGGGCTTTGGCATGCAGGCGAGCCTGGGTGCTACAGGCGAGCTCGGCCTTCAGGCGAGCTGTGCAGGCGAGCCTCGTAGGCGAAGTTGTGCAGGTGAGCTTCGCTTAGTTCGGGCGAGCTCTAATGTTCAGGCGAGCTCTAGCCTTACAGACAGACTTCCTTACAGGCGAACTTCACCCTTTTCAGGTGAGCTTCAGACTTCAGGCGAGCCTGGATCATGCAGGCAAGCTCTGCAAGCGAGCTTGACTTATGCAGGCGAGCTCCACAACATGCCACGAAGAACAGGTCATAACTTTCAAATCGTAAATCGGAATTTGACGAATTATATATAAAAATCGACTATCTCGACGAGATGGAGCCAACCAAACTGACCCTATAGGGTTCGGTTTGCTCCTGTCTATTTTGCCAAATTCCTTCCGGTTTGAGAGATATCAGCGTTTTCCCCCCTTTTTGCTATTTTGGGCGAGGTTTTAGCAGTTTTGTTCTGAACTTCTCTGATAGGGATTAAAGATAATTTTTATTGCCTACAGGGACATCGAGGACTTGATCGAGAGGGGGTATTTGAAGAACCTTATCTCTCAGCGAGGCCGTAGAGAAGCTGCCCCGGCCAAGGCGAATAGGAGATCCCGCTTGCGGTCGCCTCATCCTCGACTACGCTAAGATAACCGACTTCCAGAACCCAATCACAAGGGGGTCATCAACATATCAGTGGCAGTCTCACTACTAGAGGGTCGTCTAACAACGCCCAGAAGAGATATGTCAAGAGGGCATTGCGGGTCGACCAAGGCGACAAGAGGACGAAGGCAGAGGAGTCCATATCTTTTGGGGACGCCGACCTACAAGGCGTTGAGATACCTCATGACGACCCTATCGTCATCACAACAGGGATTGATGGCTACCAGGTGAATCATGGTCGACACAGGAAGCTCGGTGGACATTTTATATGTCGACGCCTTCAACCAGATGGGTATCGACAAATCTCACCTGCTCCCCCGTAGAGGCCCCCTCATCGGATTCACCGGCTACTCTCTTTTGCCAGAAAGGATGATTACTCTCCTCTAACAA